AAAATTTCGATGACAAACACATCAATTTGTAGCGTCATTTCATTTTTCAAGTTGACTTCTAGAAAAAATAGCATTACACTGCATCCAAGCCACCACTTTGACTTGGCTTATCCTGTAGGCCAGACTGGAAGTTCTGATAGGATGGCCCAAAAGTCATTTTACCGAGAAAACAATTGAATATGACCGCCATGTTTTGATCAAAGGAGCTAATTTTTTCACTACTGATAAAGACGTATTCATAGTTCATGTTCATAAGGAAAAACGTCGCTCCTATATAGCTTAGAGAAAATTTTCTTGTGACGATTATCTTGCTAACAACATCTCTGGTTTACTTTAAATTTTGAAGAGTCAGAGGTATTCTTACCTTCAAACTATCGCAACGGCTAACTAAAAATAATCCAAGAATTCAGATACAACAAGAAATGATAACGAGACAAGTATTATAAAAGTACATGCAATACATTTGTAGTTTTTTCAATAGGTTTTGCTCATGATGAATTTGAAGTTTATGTTGGCAACAAGAATAATTTTTCTATGATCTTTAAATTTTGTAAATAAAAACAAAGTTATTGCAAAGATATATATATATATATATGTATATATGTATTAAAGATGGAACGCGTTGTCTACATATCTTAAAAAAAAAGACGTACGTCATCGTTACAACATAAACGAAAATGAAAGACAAAGAATCAAAATGAAAAAAATCTATCATAGGAAATCAGGATAGTAGAAAAAGAAAGCAGATAATAAGTAATGTCGTAATCTGTAGTATTGTTTTGGTGAGTATAAACGAAAGAAAAATAGTAAATAAAGAAATAACAAAAAAAAAAACAAATAAACGTTTAACTGTTGTCTCGAAGTTTAGTTTTTGTTATTGAATTTGAACGCATTTGCCTTTGTTGTTGATGAAGATTTGTTGGTGTATTTTGTCTTGGTCGATAATCAAGTTTATAACCATCTAAAATATTTATTAATTTACTTTTCACACAAAAACAAAACAAAAAAACAACGTTTTTTTATTTTACCTCTAGTATTATGGGAGTAAGTTGAATCGGATAAATACTGTTCAGGACAGGCAAACGCTAGATGACCAATATCACCACAAGTATAACATGCTTTTGGTCGACTGTGTTGTTGTTGTTGTTGCTGTTGTGAGTAGATTGTTTGTGATTGTCGTTGTTGATGATGATAGGGAAAACATGAATTTTGTTGAAATTGATGTGAGTCTACTTGATAATGTTGTCTATGGCGATAATTGGATTGTTGATAACGAGAAATAGTTGGTGGAGGTGGATGATGAAGATTTTGTGTATGTTGTTCTGATTGTGTATTCGTACTATTTGATTGTGTTGTTGAACGAGAATTAGATACAAATCCTTGTGAACTATTTGAATTTGTAATAAAATTAGCACCTGATGTATTATTTGTATTAGTTACTGTCATATTTGGAGCAAATAATCTTATAAAATCAGGTGATGCTGATGGAAAACCGGGTGGAATAGCTATTGGAAATATACAAGGTTCAATTGGATTATAAAGAAATGAATGTGTAGTTAATAATGGTACATGATGTTGATTTTGGGATGCACAATTAGATGATGATGATGATGGTGGTGGTGGTGGTGGTGGTAAGGGGAGAGGAGGTACACCATTATTATTTCCTGTTTTAGGTAATTTTGGACTTGAACTTGATGATAAAGGTGGTCGAGCACCGCCAAAATTAATTAAAATGTGTTCGCATTGATTTCGATCAGAACTAGATGGTGGCGGTAGTGGTGATGTACGAGATGCTTGTTGTTGTTGTTTTTGTACAACAGTCATTAAAGCAGCATCAAGCAAAGGTGGTAATGGTGGTGACGAAGATGATGATGACGAAGGAATTTGAAGAAAAGTACATGGTGAACGAATCGTTTTATTACTATTACTTAAATGAACACTCATTGGTCTAAATAGAAGAAAAAGTAAAGAAAAAAGTAAAAAAAATCGTTAAGCGATGAAATCGGTTTTCTCTCACAGTTAAGTTTCATATACGGGTAACTTAAAAATATAAAAAGCTTTTTTTGTTCCATTTTTCATACTTTTAATTTGAGTTATATGCTACGTGAAAGGTCATTCTTTTTCTACTATTTGACATTAATAGTTAGACTTTTTATCAAAATCAATGATATATTTGAAATCAATATAAAAAACTGAGTCGATTTATGTATATTACAAAAAATTATTCATCAACTTTCATTTTTCTCGAAAAATTCAGTCCTGGTCTCCCTCAAGGATATGTCAAAAAATAAATTAAACCAAAACCTCGCTTTTGTTATTTATCCAACTGTCATCTTGAGTTTTCCTAGTGTTATAAAAAATTTTGACATATCATTCCTGGGCAGAACCAGGACTGAATTTTTCGGGGAAAATGTAAGTTGATGAATCATTTTGTGATATGCATAGATCAACTCAGTTTTTTATACTGATGGTCAAAATTAGCCGAATATCAGGCAGAACGAACAGTTTTTGGTGCTGTTGAGCATTGTGCATTTGACTGAAGTGTCTTACTCGCAAATTAAGCTCGGTGTAATAGCAGCATTTTGTAAAGCTTCGAAAGATCTATCGAATAGTATGTAATTCAAAGTAAATCACTACTTTTATAGCATTCGTAGGAGGCGAACTTTATCATGGATACTCTGTACTATATATACGAATGGAGCTAATTTCATCGTTTAACGACATCCTTTCTTTTATTGATTTACTTTAAATCATCTAAAGCACCACAAAGTAAATGAGCGGTACTTGAATCAAGTCCATCAACAATAAGATCATTTGGTGTTAATTTTGATAACTAAAATTTTTTAATGAAATTTACAAAAAAAAAATATATATATATGTGAAAATTTACTTCATCCATTGAATATCTTCGAAGATAATCTTGATGTTCAGCAAGAATAAAACCAGGTCCAGGCATTCGATCAGTTTGAGTTTCTTCACATCGTACTTCTAATCCAGTTTGTGTACCATTATGTGTTGGAATTATTGAACGAGCTTGTTTAGCTACATCTAATTGTTGTTTAGATTTATTACTACTTATTGATAATTTTGGTGAACATAATGTTTTATTATCAGTATCAGATTGTTGTTGAATCGGTATGTCACATTCTGAGAAATAACAAAAAAAAACAAAAAAAAGAAAACAAAATCTGTTAAAGAAAATAGACAAATTGAAATAAGTTACGGAGTGGTGTCATTCCATTAGAATACGATGGTGATGATGATAATGAATCATCAAACGTATTACTTGGATTAAATAAACGTTGTTTCGAATCAATAAGTTTTAATGATGAATTAAAAAATTTTGCTAATGTCGATATTGTTGATATATATGAAGAAAAATAGACAAGATGTCTATTAATAAATAATAATTGATTTGAAATAAATTAAATAAAAAGAAAACGAACTTACCCTATGTAAGTTTCAATATTTTTCTTCATTAATTCAATATCAGGTTCTGTAGATGAACCAATATCACGTAAATAACCAGAAATATTCATTAAACGTTCCAAACGTACATCATCATGATAAACAATATTTGATAACTAAGCGAGAAAAAATAGTCTATTGAATTAATTATCATTGTATTCTTCGTTGTTCCATGAAGAAAATATTCTAAGTCATAGTGATCAAGGAAAAGAACGCAAGTTAGTTTGAGATTCATTGTATAATAACGAGGAAATTGCTGCTTCAACTGTTTCATAAGTTACAATTTCATATGATCAGTAGAAGTGGATCTTGATATCACTAAAAACAATCCATGATCATGGATTCTCTTTAATTATCTTCGAAAGAATAGTTTTACACAAGCATAGACTTTATCATTCTGAGGAGTATTAAGAAGTGGAAATAATAATTTGTTATTTTGTTTATGAGGAAATCTTTATGTTACTAAAGAAATTTCAAAAAGTTTCAACTAACGAGAAAATCACTGTAGATGTCAAATTGCTTTTCGACTGAGATGATGTTTATTTGATGAATACTAATAAGTAATAGAAAGATCTAGAATGGTTTAGTTTTCCGGGCTTTTGCTTGTGGAATATCGGAATTTTATTGAGTTTTTCAATAAAAAGCTGTGGTTCCACTGTGATCACATGGAAAATCAACGTCCGAGTTTCGACTTCAAACTTTACTCTTAAATATGAGAAAATTTCGAATATTCCATATCTGAGGATCGGAGATACTAGAAAAGTGACAACTTATCTAATGAACTAATCTCATTGAGAAATTTGTTCGTACAAAGCTTGGAATCGAATCTCGAAAGCCGATTTTTCACGTAACCTGAGATGGATCACAGCTTTTTGTTGAAAAATCCAGTAAAATTTCGATATTTCAAGTACGAAGACCTGAAAAACCAAATCATTCTACACTTATCTATTTACTTACTAGTGCTTATCAAATAGACATCATCTCGATTGAAAAGCGATTTGATACTTGGAGAGGTTTCTTCATGACATATAGAATTATCTTTTTTGTTATAATATTTAAAACATCTTTTCATGAGAAACAGACACTTGCTCGCCAAATAGACTTAAAGTTAGGAAGCTGCGGATCCTTCCAGATTTGGATCCGGGTTCCCTACTTAAAGTGAACTATCTGAAAACTTTGTTTTAAGATGTGATGTAAACATTTATTATTAGAAATAATGTGGATTTTATTGCCAGAAAATACCGATCACTATTTGAAAAGTAAATGAAAGAGAAACTTTTTCACGAACGCAAAAAGTATCTGATTATTGACTTCGGAAATTGATTTTCAAGTATTTTAATTCATACATTCCATCTGGCAGTTATTCTCAAGAGATAACATCAATAATTTAAGCATGTGACTTCTTTTTCATTTAATTAGTCTATCGAAAAAAAAATATTCATAGGCGAAATGAGTATATTTGCAAACAATATAATTTCTCATTCCATCTTTTGAATTTATGAAAGACATTAACCAACATGATCTTTTGGATGAGATATTGCACTTTTACGATGTTTTGATTTTAGGACAGAAGCAGATCAAAAGACTTGAAACTTTCACAATATTTAGGTCTACATGGTGTACATAGCTCTAACTCAAAAGTGATTAATCAGTTAGGAGACTTTCCTCATGAGTTGTTTTATTTACAATTTTCTATTTAACAGTTTTGAAAGCAAATGTCCTACATCCGTTTTAATATCATACGAATCTATGTTGTTAAACAATATTTGATGTACATACTTGTAAATGAAACGAACGAATGTCATTTGGAGTTTTCCAAGTAAGTGTTGAATTATTATCTGACCAATCAGCTCTAACTAATACTCTTAGCGATGTTGAATCTGTATCAAAATTCACAACAGTTAATCGAGTCAACAAAGCTAAAAAAAACATTGCAACATATATAAAAACAAATATTTTTTTTTTCGTACGTGATGCATGTACACTTAATGTACTTGAATTATGTATTGATGATGATGGTAAAGTATGATAACCTAAATATGTTGATTGATCAAGTGTATCATCGTCATTTATATTATTATGTACGGTTTGTAATAATTTCATTTTTCTTTGTCGTTTTTCTAATTCTTTTAATATTTGTGACATTTGTGTACGCATATCAAAACTAAATGCTGGATGATTAGCAGCTAAACAAAATATAATTAAAATTTCATCCATTGTTCGTTCATCCAAATCATCACGTTCAAGTAACATATCAACTAATTTAACACTTTCACTTGCTTTTAAACGACGAAATAATCGAATAGCACACGCACGATTTTTTGCCCAAAGAAGAGCTAAATAACAAAAAAAAAAAAAACAAAATTAATATCAAATTTTGTTTTTTTTCACATTGATTTTTTACCAATATCAACAATCGCATGTGCACGTGTAAATTGATCAGTTAAATCTAATTTTTCATCAGATAAAACATCTATTTGTTCATTGTTACTTGATACAGATGAAGTTGTTGATGATGATAAATGATTTGTTTTTTGTTCAGCATGATATAAATATTCATAATCTTTACGTGCTATTTCTTCTAAACATGTACCTAAATATCGTAATTCTAATGGTTGACATAAATGAAGTAAGCCATATAAAAATTCAATACGTTTTGCTCCACTTAGATGATTAAAATAACGATGAATTTCTTCTTGATTTAACATCGATTTTGAATTAATAGATGATGATAATGAATATGTACGATATAATGATGGAGCCACTTTGATAATCTTTTAAAGTTTTTTTTTTTTATGTGTTTGTAGTTACTCGAACATTGATATTACTGTTTAGATGATGAACACGTTCTGAATATAAAGAAAGAAGAAATTAAAAATGTTACTGAACGAACAAACAAATATAAGAACGAAATTTCGATTGATATCAGCCGTTTGGAAAGAAAGAAAGAAGAAAATCATAATACCTCGATATCTACTAGGGTTCTTTTTTTGTTTTTTTTATTATCTTACTGATCTATCCTCTATTAATTTACTATCATATGTAAATTATCCTAAAATGTATATTCAACAATCAAGTTATATGTATATATAGATATATAATCGGATAGATAGAAGATATACAGAAAATTAATATATCCAATAAAGGAATCTATTTCATAGATGTCATTAAACGACAAACTTATACAGTTTTTCTCGACTTTCTAATTTATTACGATACAGGAAAAGGTCATAGGTACGATAGTCTATTCTTCGGATAAATGTCTATTTGATAATAAACTGTGATTATGACAAATGTACATTTGTTCCAGAAAGTGTAATATTGAACAAAGTTCTATTTATAAATGTAGCAAAATATTTTCATGATATATAATCAACTAGGACAATATATATATCAAAATTTATTTTTGTTAAAATCAATTTCGATTAATCACGTTCATTGTTTAATTTTTCTCTTCTTTTTGTTTTTGTTAATAGATGCTAGAGATAAGTCTATGCCAATGATAGAACATATAGTGTTTATCATTAAATAGATGACATCGATTTTTATTCGGATGTTAATGGCTCAGTGACATTCATTAATGGTTGTCTACCAATGTATCACATTAATCTCACCTGGCAATGTATACCTTTGACTTTTTTTGTTATCATTATATACGATGGAAAGTGAATTCTATGATATAAATTTTCAATAATGTCTCAATTCAAAAGATTTATTAACGTAAATTGAATTCATTTATGTATTTCTCTAAAAAAATATTTATCTTCTATAGAATAAACTATCATACTGTTTCGTCTATACTATTGGTATATGCATTGCTATTTCTTTGGCGACAACAATTGCACTATTAATATGGTATCTTCTTACACCTGCGTATGTGAATTATAATATCAATCAAACAAATTTTATTTGTCCACCAAATCCATGTTCATCAACAACTAGAACAACTACAAGTTCTATATCAAGTAGTAAGAGTGAGTTATTTTTGTTTTCTTAAATTTTAGCATTGTTCGATTCGTTAATAGCCAGTTCGATGTCGACTACATCAATAAGTACCATGCAAACATCAATATCGGTGAGAGAAAATTCTTTTCACATACACAAAAAAAAAAATTTCTCTACTATCAATCACATTATAGACTATAACAAGTTCATCAACGAAACCGAATATAAGCACAAAACGTACATATAAAGAATCATGTGATCAATTATACGATTGTTATATTGAATATGGATTATTATGTGAATATGGATGGAATGAAAATAAAAGTTGTCTATGTGAAGGATCTCATTATTGGTCAGTTCAACAAAATAAATGCCGTAAGATAAAACAATATTTTTCATATGTATGTATGTATGTATTCGTATGTTTATTTATAGTTCGTAAAGGTGAAATTAATGATTCATGTGATATTGACCATCAATGTCATCGAGAAATTGGTCTTGTATGTGATAAACCACCTGGTATATCGAAAAAAATATGTGTAAAACATTTCTTTTTTTTAATTTTTGTATTATTTCATTGTTTTTGAATCAAAATTTATCTATTACTAACTTAGGTATGTGCAGCAAGTATCTATTGGGCAAAAGATTCGAATTGTGGTAGAATTTTTTTCATATTTATTTTTTCATACATTTTATATTCTCATATTCATATGAAGGTCAAACAACTGTTCATCGTATTGTCGATTGTATTAATGAGAATTATGCAACAACATGTCTCGTTCTTGGTACTAATAATATCTATCATATGGTTACAGTGAGATCAATTAGTGAAAAAGAACTTTCATTTGATTGGTTTCTTATCGATAATCGAATTTTAGAAGAATTACCACAACTTAGTTGTACTTTCAAGTAAATTCTTTGGTTCTTTTACAGTAAAACTTCTCTAATGTGAGCACTATCAGGACCGACTAAAAGTGCCATAGATTATCACAACTCGCGGTGTAACCGCCGACGGCCATCGCACAGTAATTGTGGGTATGGTTATGACTGAAGAGCAGATAAACACCTACACTTATACCCTTCTGTTATGCTATATAGAGTTTTATGACAATTGGAAATAGTGAATTTTTTCTAATTGGATATTGTTGAAAATAATCACCCACTGCTCAGTTTATGGAGGTGCTCACATCGAGAGGTTTTACTCGATTTATGAAATATAGTTTTATTTGTTTATATATATATAGTAATGACACAAAATACTGTTTTGGTTTAAGTGCTCAAGACTCTCAACATTCTCTTAAACTTGCACAATTTACACGAAAAGGATTTCATAGTATAGAAAATATAGGTGGTACTAATCGAGGTATTGCATTTGGTTTAACTAATATAAATAATGTTTCTGTATATGTTCGTAATTCTCAAAATATACTTTATCGTCGAATAATTGTTGATGATGAAATATTATCAGCACATAATATTGCATTATCATTATCCGGTGATCCAATGTGTTATATTTATGAAGTATTGATTAGTCGAGAAATTTATTGTTTTGCTCGAAATTCAGTATATGGTCTTACAGAATATGTTGAATTATCAAAAGATACATGGCGAACTACACAATTAGGTATTCCAACTGATCGAATACGTGATGAAATAGCACCTGTTTGTAGTTATGTTGGACAAATACATCGATATTGTTTTGCTATATTTGAAAATGGACAAATTTATCGAATTATTTCGAAATCAGGTGTATGGAGTACATGGCAATCTATTGGTCGAGAACGACAATATCAATTTATTAGTCAACCTGCTTTTATAATATCGAAACCATTAAATCAATCAAGTTCTGATCAAACATGTTATCTATTAGCAATTGATACAAATAATAATTTACAATTATCGACAAATTTAAATTGTGCTCTTGTAGATAATTTTAGTGAATGGATATCAATATCAACTAATTTGAAATTTAAACAATTTGATAAAACATTTCGATTACGTGATGGTAATATTGGTGTATTAGGTATTGATAGTCAAAATCGACCTTATTATATATATCTTGATCCAAAAACTAATCGTTTTACATCACCACGTCCAGCATTTACAGTGAAATCAGTACAATTTCGTCCTTAATATCCTTTATGTTGTAAAAATATAAATTTCTTTTTGTTTTCATAAAATTGACTTAGCTCACTGATTTTATCACATTGTTTGTTTCACTAAAAAGTCTCTCATCTCTACTCCAATTAAGTGTCTGACGGAATATTCTTAAATTTCGGACTTTAACAATGTTCATTTGATATTATTTAATGAATTTCACCTATTTTCTAAACGATTACGAATAGAAATTAAAAATCTAAATAATATTTTTAATTTGAACCGTTTTTTTTGAATGGATATTATCTTTGTATTGAGCATTTCGGGATAATTTATACATGTCATATGTTGAATATCGTCTATTTGAAATTTTATCTGATATTGATAATTCAATACAAATACACCATATTTTATTTATAGATCAAATATCTGTTCAACCGTATAATATAAATCTATCATAAAATAATATCAGAAATTCTTTCATCTTGTTCAATTATATTTCAATCAAATTTTACAATTAAAGGAAGTCTTTTATATTCACTTGAAGATTATAATATAAATCTTGTTGAAATAAATTCAATAACTAGACAAATTCTTTTTCCGTAATTATCTAATAGATAAATTTTATTCATTTAAAACTCATATAAAACCAATTGAATAAATTATTATTGTTAAATTAATAATCAATAATTATAAAATTTGTTAATGTCATATTATTATTAATATCAAATTAAATAAATAGAAGAAGAGTATTTAACCATGTCAAATATTGATTCAACCTTCTTATCAAGACAAGAATGATAGGAAGTCGATAAGTAACTATGCGAACCGTAAATCGTCGTAAACATTCATGGTTTAAGAGAAAGTGTCTTGACAACAAAATCCTACTTCTCTGAAAGTCCAGCGATAAATTATTTTGAAGTATTATAGGTAAAATAAAACATTGCACAGTCGAGCACAGGTACCATAATGGTAGATCTCTCAATATCACTGCCGTTGAGTATAAGGATCTTGGCAATTGAATTCGACGAAAAAAACGAGACAACAGCGAAAGCACTGATGCAAAATCGTTTGAGAATCGAGATTGGCACGTTTCTCTGTAGACGATACAGGGTCCACTCGAGCGATTTGGTTGGGGAAATACTTAGCTGTATGCGATGCCAATATTAGCATGTGGACACTGAAGGATGTCAGTTAACAGGACCTCTCACCACTATCATATAGGTTGTTTATCTAGAGTATGAGAAAAAATCATCAGAACAAGTAAGTAAGAATTCCATTATATGATTTTTTTGTAGAGCTTTTTACAGCGCATCTGTATAAAAAAATTCAAGATTTTATCATTTTCTTAAGCCGACATATGCAAAATAAGAAAATCTTCCTAACATTTTATTATGCTCAATACAATGAAATATAGTACTGACATCCGGAGTGTTTATTTTAAGTATCTGAAAATCATTAAACCAAGTCAATAGTCATTTCTTCATGAGGTTTTTTTTAGAGGGTATGGATGTGGGTGTAAATATTCTATTCATCCACACCCACAACCACACCCATAAATATATATCCACACCTACATTCTAAAAAAAAGAATCATTCCATCCTTACTCTGATTGCAGAACGACGACGAAGTTTTCTTTGAAAAATTACCTTAAATAGATCAAAAGTATTAACAATTTAAATCTTTTTTGTGGATTACTACCTTAACAAGTACCTCCTATTTCTATTACCAGAGTTTTTCTAAGTCAATTTTGATTTAAGGAAATTTGAGAGAAATTATTTTCCTTTATAGTGTCACCTTGTCTTCGATTTCACGATGATTTTTTTTATTGAAAACAAGAAATGTGTTTAATAATGATAGTTCGAATTGTCTATTTTATTTGATGGAACTAAACATTAAGCTTTAACGTCTGATAATTGCAAATATCAATGAACAGACTGATCAAAAGATTGATGACAAATAATTGTAAAATATTAAGATAGAAAAAAATGTTCAAAATAGCTAGTTACGACTCAAAATTGAACTCTTTGAACGACTATGAATTCAAAATCTCGCATTTTGTTTTATCGATCTTGTTCGACTATTTCACTACATACCAACTATACGATATTTGACTGTTCATGTCATTGTCTGTCTGACACTAAACAATATCCATCTCCTATTTCATATATATCTTCACCAAAAATCCGTATTAATCATTCATTCGATGTGATGATCAATCTTTTACAAAATTCATTCAATCTAGTATTCACTTGTTGTCGAGCATTGACTAGAATTGAAAAAGTGTTCTGATTCGAAATACACTGTCATATCGACATTTATAATGGTGATGAAAAATTGATCGAATGTTTGACTCTTATCGAAATCCATTTTGACTTGTTGACTTATCAATAATTTGTCCTATGTCATTAGGAGTGAAGAAACCAAGGCAATCATATTTTTCTCTATTCTCTACTGTATATGCTTTTCATTCTTTTGTTCTTTATGTTGAATGCTTGAAAAATCGCACCAAATCGACAATATTCAATCCAACTCGTCATTGCTATTTCAATAATGAACAATGTACAACATTCTTTCGATCACTAGCGGCTGCCAGTCACTTTAAGATTTAAGGATCGATCTTCGGGTATTGAAGATATAGTGTCAACTTTGCCTATAAAATATGGATTCACCTATCGATATATAAATATCTAACGGATATTATCTGGCTTTTTTTTGAGTACTTTCACCAACATCCTTTCTTGCATTGATATTTTTCATTTGTATTAAATAAGAATAAGATTTCAAAGAAAACTTGGGACTACTGTATGATTGATAATAGAATGTAACGTGGTCACATCTCATCGACTGGAAAATCTCTTGATGCTGATTGTAAATATTCGAGAATCTTGATCGTTCACAAGACCTGAAATTGTATTTCAAGTTACTGAGTCTACTGATGTATGTTCAGAAATCTATTGTAATAACGTCATCATTATGACTGGCGACTTGTTTCGTAGACAGTTGAAAATGAAACGCACATTTGGAGAAGAAATTTATATTCAACAACAAAGTTCTACTGTCTTTATCAATTGGTAGATGATGTTGTGATAACTCAAAATATATTTGTAATAGAACTTATCTACCATGATGTTTTATTTCTTGTAAAGGACACAAAAAAACCAGATATCATATTATTGTTCATCGCAAGGTTTGTTTTTTACAGGATAATCTAGCACGAGAAAATCGATGGTCAATAAATTGATGAAAAATTCAAATTGTCGAATTCATTACCGAAACAGTCTACTTTCTTAGTGAGTACTTTTCCTCTCAATTCGATTTGTGCATTTAGAAAAATGGTTTCTTAATAAGGTGAATCGTACAATAAGCATGGTACATATTACCAAGTGTAAATTCTCTGCACAAAAGACAGTATGAACAAATCAATGACCAGTGCAAGAGAGTCGGTTTTGCTTGAACTAAGATTGTACTGCCCTGTGAAACATTATAAGTGTTTCGTTACTTGCGACTTCTGTATGGCGTCATCTATTCAATTATGCGTTAATTGAAAGAAAATGATCACCCAATGAATATTGTTATCTTATATAGCTATTACATTTATATTCATTTACTATAAATATAAATATATACTCGGAATTTTAAGAGACAACTGACTATGTTCGATGAAGAATACATTGTATCAGGTCATTGTGCTGTTTCATGGGAAGTTATTCGTGATTTATTTCGTCAAAATTTTATTGATCATCTTGATATTGGTGCTACGCTTTGCATTTATTATCAAGGAAAATGCGTTGTTGACTTAGCTGGTGGATGGTTTGATTTTGAGAATCATACTAGACCGTATACTCATGATACATTACAAATGATTTATTCTACAGGAAAAGGTGTCATGGCTACAGCTCTAGCTTTATGTGTTCAACGAGGATTGTTAGATTACGAAGAACGAATAGCAACATATTGGCCAGAATTTGGACAGAATGGAAAGAAGAATGTGAAAGTCAAAGATTTATTGTCACATCGAGCAGGATTAGTAGTAATAGATGATGATGATGGTCTTTTGAAGGTTGAAGATACTCTTGATGGTAAGAGTTGGATGTGGAGATTGTTTTGATGGTCAATACGAATAATAAAAGTAACTGTTAAGTATGCAATGCGTGATCATTCCGTTGTTCTTCTTCACGCGGCAAAAAGTAAAATAGAAAGAAAAGAAAGACTTTTAGACAGCAGAATGACTACTTGAAAATGAAAGGAATAGAGTCTTACGTATGCTTATTATTGTTACATCACTTGCCTAAAACCATCGTTATTCGTTGAGCACAGTTTTGCATTTTCTGTCAATTAGATACAAAAACTTGGTAGTTCTCATATCTAATTTGATTTAGATCCAACGAAAATCACTCATCTTTTGGCCAAACAAAAGCCATATTGGGAACCCGATGTTGGTGGTCATGGCTATCATGCTTTGACTTTTGGTTATCTAGTGAGCGAATTAATCCGTCGAGTTGACTTTGTAAAACACCGTTCTATGGGGCAATTTATCCAAGAAGAGATCGCTCAAGCCATAGGTGATTGCGAGTATTTTGTTGGCAATTGTTTGCCTGACCAATATCAAACTCGCGTGTCACCATGCATACCACCACGAAAAACGGCATCTGTTGAAAATCAGTCAGAATTGAGGTATAGTACAGTCTTTGAGAAATTCAGCAAAAACTCATTCTAAATTTCATAATGTCATTTTTGTATGCTAAAATTAATACATCAACTGAACTTCTTTTGGATTCCATGTGTTCTGTCATTATTTTCTACCGTTAAGCGTTCGTTGAATATGTGTATCGTTTTCTTACAATACCATGAGAAATTCTGCAATTTCAAAAAAAAAGCCGATCTGCCTTAGGTGGTATAAACTGATTTCATTTCGAATTCCTACTAGTTTATGATAGTTCTGATGTTATATTTTGCAGTGAACGAACTTTATGTGAAATTAGTTTCTTTGCACTAGCCAATTACAAACTCGAATATTTACACTGAATGGTCTTATACCATCATCACCTATCAATGGAACAGATAAGCATTTATCCCCTATCAATGGCTTCACAAATGCTCGATCATTAGCAAGAATTTATGCTTCATTACTATTTACCGAAAGTCTCATAACATCTAAAACTCTAGCAAAAGCAATATTGAATAATACACCTGAAAATGAACCTGATCAAATTCTTAGTCATATGACAACAAAGTTTAGTCAGGGTGGTTATATGTTAGATTCAACAGTAGTGAAAGACTTTGGGAAATGTTTTGGACATTGGGGTAAGATAGCTGACCTCATTTTTCATCATATTCTTGACTTCTTTTATTCTTACTTAGGGTGGGGCGGAAGTATTGCATTCGCCTGTCCCGATAAACAACTATCGTTTGCATATGTGCCGAATAAATTAAATTATGATACAAGCAAAACGGATTTACGTATTCAACGAATTTTAGATGGCGTTCAGACTTTAACAAATTACGAAAGACATTCGTAGTAGAAAAATATTCGAATGTTATATTTAGTGATGTTTTTATGGAAATAAATGTATACCTTCATCGATGTTTTTTCTATGAATTCTTAGGGATGTGGATATTTATGAGGATGTGGAATGCAGAGGGTATGGGTGGGTTGTGAGTGTGAATACGAATGCAGATGTGATCCACACCCACGCCATGGATTGAAGTGTTTCGCAAAAAATATATTGAAACTGTATTTAGCTGCCATGACTCGATATTCCTAGAGGATAAAATGCAAATTATAAAGTGTTCTTAGCACAATCCTCAATCTTTGACTGGAATTACAGGCAACCGAAATATCTTTATGAATTGCTGCTAAGAATGAATCATTATAAGAGAGCTTTTTCTCTCGTAATTCTATTCAAACAAGATTTGTAATACTCTCCTCGAATGTCTGTCTATGACTTGCATCTCGAACACCATATTAGGTGCCGAATTACCGCTTGGTGTATGCACATCCAGATAAGCACTATTTGCTACAGAACTGCACATGCTCATTAACGTTACCTATTGTAAAACACGATCGAGAATGCGGGTGTGGATGACGGTGTTGGTGTATGAAAATGTAGCTTGGGTGGGTGTAAGTATGAGTATTTATGCAATGAGTATCCACACTAATAGCCACGCTCACATCCATACCCACAGCTAAAAAAAGTAAAAGTTCAATCTACCAGTGTAGCCAAAAGTATTGATAGGATATTGATTACTGATATATAAGATATGAAATTTTTGTACTGAAAACGAGTTAAAAAATTAATGAAATCCTTTAAGAAACTTAAAATCATCATATGAACAGAGACTTTTCACGACAATTAGCTTCACACACTAAAACATAAAAAGATAAAAAAATTTTGATGATTTAAGTCGAATTCTGAATGGAATGACAATCTTAGAAAAACACCGAGGATGCGCATTACTGTCATTAACTATACAAACCACAAATAGATTATTAACAAACAGATCGGATTTTTCGTTAATTGAAAATCAATAGAGATTAGAAGTTACTTGTATTTATGAGTTTGCATGAGTGTGTGTTGATATGAATGTGGATTATGAAAAAACCAACATATAACAGCACCCGCATCCACATCCAAATGGTATCGTTTTGATCTCAACGCTTTCGTATGGTGCATCAAGGAGTATTTTCTGAATTTTCGTTATTGTTTACAAGATTATCAAACTTTCGACATCGTCAAAATTTCGAATTAACCCAAATAAATTATATCGTAGTTATCAGACTTGTTTTAATTATCTCAAAAAAAAACACAGAGTTCTCACTTCAAAAATTATCATTCTGTGAAGCGAACTGAAAAAAAATGGAACTTTGTAAAAAAAAAAAAGTTTGAACGAAAACCCCACGACTCTTTAATCTTTAGATCATCGCCACTCATAATAGCGATTTGAGTGGATGGTCGAGAAAAGTAAAAATATAGCATTAAAAATCAAATTGAAGATATTGAAATACCCGATATGAATCAATAGTAAAAGCATTCACAGAGATATGTATTGGCGCCTAAGTGAACTTCTTTAATTGATAAATGATCTCCTTCAAAATGTCCATCCAACGTATCGGTAAGTGTTGCTTACAATTATTTATAATATTTTTTTTCTGTCTATGTTATAAATAGGAATAGAAAAAGCATTACCTATGTTAGTATTAGGTGTCAGTTGTATTTTGGCTGTTGCCATAATCTTTGGTATTCTTTGCGGAAATATGATACGAGCACGACGTTTGATTTTTTTTTTCGTTTTCTAAAATATTCTCAAGAAAAGAAAAAGTTAATTCTTATTAGGTAAAATCGAAAAAATTCAACATGAAAACGAAGAAAAAAAAGAACAATATCCAATTTATATCATGGCTTCACAAAGTCAAAATTCGATAAAACTTCCAATTAGTACAAATAATAATAAAATTAAGTATGATCAATTATTTTCTAGATAACTTTGAACAAATATATTCTTTCATATTTAGTAATACTAATCAAAGTGCTGCTATTCTTTCATCTACAACTAAAATTAACGAATATCGTTCATCATCATCTCGTATGGAAATTGCACTTGATCCAACATTCAAAATTCATCCTTATCATCTATGTTCTTTTAAACGTATTGTTGAACTTTGAGATAAAACTATCTTTTCTTTTTATTTTAAAATCATCATTCCAAATATGATAAAGAGAACTTCGATATAAAAGAAAAAACAAACGTCACTGTTTGAAATCACATGCTGATAAAACACGATCTGATGACATACGTGGATAAATATTTGTATATATAGAAGTACCAAACCAATATTCTAATGGATGATTTTCAACTGATGTTGAACAACATAATTTATCTACTGTATGATTGCTCAAGAGCTATAGTGAATTATCTTGTTATTCAATAACTAGATAACAAAAAAAGAAAACATAATATTTCGAATTTGTTTAAATGAGACATACATGATGGTGGTATTGAATAAAAATTTTGTTTGTCGTCATCCTCTTTACTATGATGAGTATCATTATTCGATCCAGTAATATTAATACTTGGTGTAGTAGATGCTTCCATTGTCGTTGAATATTTTAGATGTTCATTAATCAATTGAATAAATGTATCCTAATAACAATAATAACATCAATGAAAATGAACAACTAATTTACTTGATTTTGTTTTTTAGTCGTCTAAAATGATAATAAAATTTGTGATGCATGTGAAAAAGTTAGAAAAAACAAACCAGTGAATACTTTATGATTTTGATTAATTGAAAATGTTTGATTCGAGTTTAATTGTTTTGGTGTTGATGGCGTGGAAAAATTATTTATGATTTTGTTATGATAAATTACTTACGATATCGGTTATTTGTAATGAATTGATTCTTTTTTGTTCATATCTAAACATGAAAATATACGTAGTATATGTTAGGGTCCAAGCTGACATTATGTCTAATCTCGAATTGGCTTAGGTGGATGTGAGTTTTGAGATTGAACGGTAAATTGATATTAAAATTCAAAGTAGGCTGTAGATCATTAAGTTTGAATCCATGAAGTTATGAACGCTTTTTTTTATATACACGAACCACTTAAATACACAACTATCCATAATCACTTCAGTCTTTACTAAATTTGTCCATTGACGATTGTATGAATTAAAATGCCAGTACTTCCTTTCATTTCATCAATATGAATCCGAATACGACATCGATCTACAGACTAGCTCGGGTTTTAACATTAATTTACCCTTCAATCTGATATTGAACGTTAACATATATTTAGAGAAATAAATATGTTCATTTACTGTTGAAGTCGTTGAGCCTCAAATAACCGTTGTAAAATTGGAATTGTATTTATTTCTTTATTGATTAATCCCATTATTTTTCGTTTCAATATAGATTGGTAAAAGAGATTTAATTTGATTTGTATATAATTCACATTGATTAGAATTTTGTCTTTGATAAGGCATTGAAAGCTGTAATGATAAATGATGTCGAGATGAATTAAATTGTATTTGTTGATGACTATAATCATCAATCCAAATATGTGATGATTGTATTTGATGAGATTATAATAATGCTGATGGTTGATAGCGTATTACAACCGAAGTAAGAGCAGCTACTTGTTGAGGTGTTAAGGAATCTTTTGGACGACGATTTTTTACTTTCTAAATAAAGGAGGGGGGGGGGCGTTAAGAGGCAAAAACGGCCCCTCGTCGGAGTTCGACCTTGTCTTTCCAATTTTATCAGTTTAGGTGCCAGATGTCTATTTCTATTGAAATTAGACAATTTAATGCGTTTCAGATTGTGCGCGACTCGATTTAGTTCTCCATGTTATATAGAGCATATATAATGGTAGTGTAGCACTTTTAATTATCAGAAACATATCAATCCATTTCGAATCGTATACTAATCGATAGATCTCGAAGAGATCTATCAGATGGTGATAAAATATCTAGAGAAAAAAGTGGGTAAGTGAGTCTAGTGGTAGACACAATGGGGACAAGGTCATATATTACAGGGTGTAGAGTGATGGTAGAGAACTTTTGTCTATGAGAAACATGCAGGTCCATTCTGAATTACATACTAATCGATAGATCTCGTCGA